CAAGAGTATTTATAATTTATAATTAATAATATATAATCAATAATGATATTATTAATATATTATAATTAATATTTATATTATTAATACATTATAATTAATAATTATATTATTAATACATTACAATTATTAATATAATTTACAATTTTACAAGAGTATTATTCCAAGTATCTCCGACACTTTTTGAAATATTTTCACCCAGGTCTGCTTATCGCTGAGTCTAATAAAATCGGTGTATATTATTTATATATATAAATTATATATTATTATATATATAATTATATATACATATAATATATATATATATATATATTATATATATATATATATATATATATATAATATATATTAATATATATATTAATGTTATAACAAAAGTAACATCGATGTTACAAATTTGTATATATNTATATTAATCGGTGTGTACCATGATTTCCGAAAGTCAAAATAAATTGCTCTCTCCGGCAACGGGCCAAAAATACATCTTAAGCGGCAACAGAATACTGGGAGAGGTGGCAGAGGTTCAGAATCGTCAGTATCAGTCCATTGTGTAAAAGAGAGGCAGGATTTACTCGGTTGCCGTTATAAAGTTTGCAGAGGGGTGACACGGGGGCCGAGCAAATTGAGCTGAATTACTTACCTGACACTTCTCGGCGGACATTAGTATCTGAAGAAGGGGCGGCTGCGGCGGCAGGGTGACGTTCGGGGGCGCAGAATAGAGGGTCGTGGCCGACGGTGAATGCGACAGAGCCAGCGATACAGGGGATTGAGAGTCTTCCGGCGGTTTCTGTACCAGCCCCACTGGTCGTGGGTAAGGCATGATCCTTTGGTTGCACCTTATCCTTCTACGGTCATTACGTTTTCATTGGTCTCACGAAGCTACATCATGTCCAAAAGTTTCGGGGCCCCGTTTCGCACTCGCGTTAACTCCGGTTAACATTTCTTAAAGTGACCTCACACGATCAATAATGCTTTTCAATATTCCAAGGTTCTCAAGGGGATATTCCAGTCTAGATGTCGACCTTTTTTTATTTCATTTTCCGAAAGTGCTTTCGAAAATATTTCTACCAAAGCATATCGTTGAATTCGAGATAATTGTATTCTAGTCTAGAAAAAAGTCAAGCTTTTATTATTTCATTTTCTGAAAGTATATGCTTTCGAAAATATTTTTACCACAAGGTATCATTTCATTCAAGAAATTGTATTCTAGTGTAGAAAAAAGTCAAGCTTTTATTATCTCATTTTCTGAAAGTATATGCTTTCGAAAATATTTTTACCACAAGGTATCATTTCATTCAAGAAATTGTATTCTAGTGTAGAAAAAAGTCAAGCTTTTATTATTTCATTTTCTGAAAGTATATGCTTTCGAAAATATTTTTACCAGAGGGTATCATTTAATTAAAGAAATTGTATTCTAGTCTAGAAAAAAGTCAAGCTTTTATTATCTCATTTTCTGAAAGTATATGCTTTCGAAAATATGTCTACCAAAGGATATCGTTGAATTCGAGATAATTGTATTCTAGTCTAGAAACAAATCAAGCTTTTATTATTTCATTTTCTGAAAGTATATGCTTTCGAAAATATTTTTACCAGAGGGTATCATTTAATTAAAGAAATTGTATTCTAGTCTAGAAAAAAGTCAAGCTTTTATTATCTCATTTTCTGAAAGTATATGCTTTCGAAAATATTTTTACCACAAGGTATCATTTCATTCAAGAAATTGTATTCTAGTGTAGAAAAAAGTCAAGCTTTTATTATCTCATTTTCTGAAAGTATATGCTTTCGAAAATATGTCTACCAAAGGATATCGTTGAATTCGAGATAATTGTATTCTAGTCTAGAAACAAATCAAGCTTTTATTATTTCATTTTCTGAAAGTATATGCTTTCGAAAATATTTTTACCAGAGGGTATCATTTAATTAAAGAAATTGTATTCTAGTCTAGAAAAAAGTCAAGCTTTTATTATCTCATTTTCTGAAAGTATATGCTTTCGAAAATATTTTTACCACAAGGTATCATTTCATTCAAGAAATTGTATTCTAACCTAGAAAAAAAGTCAACCTTTTGTTATTTCATTTTCTAAAAGTACAATAAATTCTCCCTAATTGATCCTCAGCTTGAAAACAAAAATGGACAATCTGAGCTTCGATTAGGGAGAATTTACTGTACTTCTGTTCCTATTTCTATTTCTCGTTGTCGAAATTTGCAAGTATCCTTGAAAGAGTAACAAACATATATGAAAAACGCCGATGCATGAAATTACATAGTTTGTTTATAAGAAAAATACCAAAAAGAATAAAAAAACACGTATTCTAGCCTACAATATCCTCTTGATAGTATTGCAGTTTATTATCGGTAATATCGTCGATATTTATTGAGATTGCACTCCGTTTCGAATTTGCATTTATTCAACGATGTCGAATAAGAAGTAAGATTGTGCATTTATTGCTTTAGCATTGTCAATGAAGGAGCCAAGGAATATCGAAGAGTGTCGAGGACACCGCCCTTGAAGGGTAAATATATGCGCATATGTATATTATTATAATAGTATATATATTATATTATAATAGTGATATATATAATATATAGTATATATATTATAATAATAGTATATATATTATAATAGTAATAATAGTATATAATATAATAGTAATAATGCAAAATAGTATATTGTCATAAATATATCTAAAAATAATTTTACAAGATTTTAGCAAAGGTTTTGCGTACCTGGAAGGCAATAGAACATAACCGGATCCAGGGCCAGTCCTTAATCGATCGTCGTTCTCAATCGGCGACTGTTGTTTCTCGGAAATCATTGAATGAGGTTTCGGCTTCCTCGGACCACGTACATGTTGTACTGCTAAACATTAGCCATGACATACACATATTATCTTCGTGCTTGAGATCATTTTAATTGTTAAAACTGTCTACAATTCTGGCCTTTATATTTATTTTACTTTACGCATGATTCACTATGAAAAGAAAACATTCCTGTAATTTTACAATTATGTATCATTTTTGTTAATGGCTATCTGAAATACTATTATTTATTGCGTCTGCGCTTTTATGGATTTATAATATTAATCAGTGAAAGAAATGTAAATAAGTTCTAAGTTCCAATAAATAAGTGAGGATAAACAAGTTCGATTAAGTATTTTACTGAGACAACAATTGACTGGCAATAATCTCAATGCAGCGTGACTTTTGCTTCAAGTAGAAACAGTGCAAAATGATCAGACACTATTCAGTGCTCTTCATTTCATTAATACAATTCACATAATCAGTAGAGTGCAAATTTTTGTGCAAAGGAAAAATTGTCTATATTAATTACAAGATACAGGCGTTATGTACGTGCATAAATACTTATTTTTGTGATAATGTTTCTATGTTTCTCCTTTCAAAACTATAGAAAGGAATCACATTATTTATGGGATGATCCGAACGTATATATTTCAGTTACATTTTTATGTCTTTATATTGTAGATTTATTAATCGCTTTGAGACTCTTCAATTAACACTTAACATACGCCTAGATGCCTTGTATAACTATTGAGCTGCAAATACAGACAGTGGCTACATTGAGCTAAATTTAATAAAAACTCTGAACATATTTAGTCCTTGATGCATAACTTATATGTTAGGTCATGGGTGAGCCAAAACATAAGGTTATTCAGTATAAGATAGAATGTAGTTTAAGATAAAAATTATGTAGTTTAAGATAAAAATTATGTAGTATAAGATAAAACGTCGAACACTGGAACCGAGCAATGCGTGCCTCAATAAAAAATGGCAAGATCGAACATATTTACATTTTACCTGATTCTGTCCTCACGAATGCATATTTATAGCTTCAGTAACGTTCAAATAAACAAACTGATATCCTCATAATGCATAATTTATTCGCTAGTAGTATTTTCACCATTTCGATACGTAATAATCGAAGAAATTATTCCAATATTATTCTCCTTCATCAAACTTTATTAATCGAGCAAAATAACATGTAAAGACAGGTTAATGATACGATTACGTGTACAGTCAGATATTTGACCTTTCAGTGGTGCAAAGTAGACGGTAGAACAGTCCACGAGAACAGAGTTTTACGAAATTGCGTTACCCAAACCTTTGTTACAAGCTCAGTCGAAACAGTTAAAAAAGACGAATGTCTTATATCCTCTCGCATTTCTACAATTCCTTCAAAAAAAAAAACGTTGTAGCCATCGTCCAGCGCAGCAGTCTCCCTATCATCTCAAAAGAAATACAAATCGTTTCGTCCACTTTAAAAAAAGTCGTTCCGCTTCAACCGTCCGAATATCAACGAAAAATCACTGTACGTTCACTGGCGACGATGACTAGCAGCCACGTCGGTAATCGAACGGAAAAATCGACAAAAAAAACTACGTATATGAAACCATCGGAAGCTTCAAGGAACCCTCGAGGAAGCCGGTACAACCCTTAGCTATTCCGCCGATAATCTCGATCCCCCGATGAGAAGTCCTCCGTAAGTCAGATTCCCCATCGCCGCCGAGCATCTCTTTGAAATAGTTGGTCCGATTTGCACAAGAAACACCGGGGTCTTACCGCGGTCGAGCCGGGCTATCCTCCCCCTTGGGGCCGGAGGAACGGCGCCGAGGAACCAATCCACCCGTCACGATCAAGAATCACAAATCATCCCCTAATAGAAGGCCCGCGAGTCCCCGGTTCTCATCACTCCGTGGTCTTCTATTAATATCACCTAAGAACTTAACGGTGGGAGCGAAAAAGTCCACGCAGCCTGCGCGGAATTGAGTCTCGGGGATGGTGTGGCCTGCTGGAGATGTACGAGCCCTGTATTTTCGTGGTCCAGGCGGTGGGGCGGGTTGGTGGTAGATAGGTCGACCATAGGAACGGCTCGTAGGAGGGTTGAATACGCCGCGGGAGCAACGGGGGGAGAGGGGGGACGCGAGGTGGCTGGCCGGGCGTCCGCTTCTACTGGCTCTGCTCGGCAAGACACCGTCGGAGAAGGGTGCGAGAGACGGAGAGAGAGGGGATGATAAGAGACAGAGGCGGCTGAACGTGGCGGGAGGGAGAGAGGGATCAATCTAGAGAGGGAGAGAGAGGGAGAAGGAGAGAGTGAGAAAGAGAGAGAGAGAGAGTGAGAAAGAGAGAGAGAGTGAGATAGAGGAAGAGAGAGGGGCGACGGAGAGACAAAGATAAGGAATCTAGAGACAGGCATACACTTTGAAATATGTAGAGGGTGTGTCGATGTAGGTGGCAAGGGACAGAGCGACGGAGAGAGCGAGAATGGAAGTGCAACTGGGTACCTAGCACATCATCATTAATGAGGCTGAGCGGATAGCAGCCGTGGATTCCCACGTTCGCACTGGCGTCGCAATATCTGCGCTTGATCCAGCCTCGGTCGGCCATTGGCGGCGTAAGAATCTCCCTTCGACTGGGCCTTTGACGACGGGATCGCGTGCCTGCGACCGGGAACCTCCGCTACGGATTGAGAAGGAGGTCAGAGATCGACGCGGAGCGGGCTCGTTTCGTGTTTTCAGAGTAATTAATGCGCGACGGCTGGTTCCTTTAAAGCCACTATCCGGGAAATCTCTAGCGGGGTTGATTAAAGTGATTAGAGGGTTGGTTCGCTGACTCTGCGGAACGAAAGTTGCCGGCTGGGCCGTCTAACTGCCGACGGAACGACGTTGCTGGATTTTTACACGGATTTCGGATCGGCTCGAACGATTTTCGACGAGAATCGACTATCATCGACGAGGTGTTTTTTTTTTCGTTCTTTGCTTCGTTAGGTTGTTAGACAGCGGCGGAGAGAAGGAAGTTTAAATGTTAGATGGTATCCGGAAACATCGTAATTTTACGAGAATGTAATCATGCATTATCATGCATTATGCACATCGAAGTAGGGTGAGTGCAGGTATTACTGCGGTTTCTTAACGAAGGCGAACTTTGACAGAGGAAATAAGATGTTTTATAAATTGACAACTCGAGCTATACCTATTATTCTTTAATTTGAATATTTACTCTCTCTTTTCTCGAAATATTGGATCTCTGAATAATCTAGAATATTACTTAGTCTGTGACGTGTAGGTATTATTGCGGTTTCTCAATGAAGGCGAACTTTGACAGAGAAAATGAGACCTTTTACACCAATATATTGACAACTCGAGCTGTACCTATTATTCTTTAATTTGAATATTTACTTTTCTCGAAATATTGGATCTCTGAATAATCTATAATATTATTTAAACGTTATTTAAACTGTAACATGTAGGTATTATTGCGGTTTCTCAATGATGGCGAACTTTGACAGAGAAAGAGAGACCTTTTACACCAATATATTCACAACTCGAGCTATACCTATTATTCTTTAATTTGAATATTTATTTTTCGCGAAATATTGAATCTCTGAATATTCTATATTGTTATTTAAACATTATTTAAACTGCGAAGTGTAGGTATTACTGCGGTTTCTCAATGAAAGCGAACTTTGACAGAGAAAATGAGACCTTTTAGAAATTAACAATAAATAATTGACAACTGTATCTATTATTCTTTAACTTGAATATTTACTTTTCTCAAAATATTCTATAATCAGATCTCTGATTATAGATCTCAGATCTCTGAATAATCTAGAATATTATTTAAACGTTGTTTAAACTGTGAAGTGTAGGTATCACAATATTAAACGTAATTTAAACCATGCATTTGTTCAACCGTATCAGTTTCGTGCATTTGATATTCTCGCGTTGCGAAATCGTTGTCGAATAGTAAAACGAAAATATTCGTCCGCCTGGGTGCAGAACGTTTTACAAACGGAAACTACGGTCGCGAGTGTACACGTTGGAAAGTAAGGTGCGGCAAAATCCGCTTCGGGTCTATTTGTTTTATAGACTAAATTGGCCGTGCATCGAAACAGGTACAAATATTATTATTTTTCGAGTGTAATAATTGTTTTTTCGTCGGCGAGCACCCCGCTGGAGGAAAAAACAGCAAGCGGCGCGCACGTTGTTTGCTTTATAAGCAAACTTCCTCGCGCACGGCACGCAGTCGGGATATTAGAACGTGAATTCATTTTTAAAAGCATCCTCCTGTACGTTTTTTGTTCCCGTTGTACCGCGCGGTTTGATCGGTTATTAAAGAACAATATCCCCTGGAAACGAACAAATGCTCGAAAAATGCTGCGCTTTCGTTCGAAATGCTCTGAGATTGTAAGATTAATGTGGATAGGTAGAATCGATAACAATAACGCGTATAATATGGCGATCCAAAGATAAATGAAATTGCTGTCTTTTTAGGTTATAACAGAGCCGTTGTATATTTATAAGGGAGTTGTACAAAATCATTATTGCAGATGCGTTTTTGTGAGCGTCTTCTGCGAAATTCCTTCTAATTAATAAATCACGATACATTGCAGAAACAACTGGATTTAAATCTTAGAAATTTTTAATTTTATATATTATATAATGATTATTCTGTACTTGGTTAACATATATTTTTTAAGTCTTTATAGAATAAGTTTATTAAGGTCCACGTTTCTGTAAATGCAATCGATCGTATTTCAAGTCGGCAAGACGAATTTGAACGCAACTCTGAGAAATTAAAAAAAGATTAGATCGCTGATTTTAAGCATTTACGGTGAAATTTTGTAGATGAAACACAAAACAGGACGGACGTCGCGAGAATTAAGTTATATAGTAATAGTAATATAGTATAATAATATAGTAATATAGTAATATATCATAGTATAATATAATATAATATAGTATATAGTATATATACTATAATATAATATACTAGTATTATATAGTATTAATACTATATATACTATAGTATATATACTATAATATAATATATTAGTATTATATA